GGTAGTTGTTGCCAAAATAAACACTCAAATAAATGAAGTATGTTGAAAAGAGGCACTCCCCCACAGATGTAGCTGGAGAGTTAATTAGGCAATTAATGTTTCCTCATTCTTAGGGTGGCGCAGGGTTCAGATACTTTTAGAAATATTAGCCACTGTGGCTAACTGTACAGGAGTTTTCTTAGCCATGCATAAAATGTATTTGCCGCAAAATCATTCTCACGCTGAAAGCAGGACGTCTTGTACGGATGCAGAAAGGTCAAATTTGTGTGGCTGTGATACTACGTGCCTGTAAACAAGCAGCCTGGCATTGTCTAGAAATGTTTCCATTGGTTGAACATGTTTTTTTCTGCGTGTTTTTTTTTCCTTTCTCGCGTATGAATTTTCCAAATGCACCATGTTAGTTCTTCATTAATTTAAAGAGACCACGTATAGCATGAATAAGTTAGTATCAAATCTAGAATGTATGGATTGGAATTGGCTCACATTGTTTAGACTTCCACTTAAAAGAGGCAGCCATTAGAGCTGACTCAGTCGAGAGCCACCCATCAGAAGTGTCATCTGGCTTGTCCAAGTGAAGGTTGTGCTGTTAATAGAGTGTTTTCAAGAAAACTTGGAAAGTAAAGAGTGTATCACCAAAACATATGTAGTATAACACAAAAAAGAACTGCTACGGTCGGGATTGTGAGTTCGGTCTTCGCCAGTGTGGCAAAATGGTTGAGAAACAAATTCCCCACATTTGCATTTTAATCGCCAGGGGCAATGTGGCAAATGGCTAGCGAGGACCCAGGTGGTGTATGAAAATGCTGGACAGGCCCAACCGCCTGCTGATTTGGCAACTTTGCCTGGTGCATCAATAAGGATGACACAGTCTGTGAGGAGCGGTTACTAATGCGTTTGGCTGAGGGAGAGGCATTATCAGCGGCAACTGTGGACAAGAACACATACTCCTCCAGCATGTCTGTGCATTGCTCCAAGATGCAATGTAACATGGATAAGCAAGTCTTTTTCTGCAAATTTTGACTTAAGGTATAAGTATGCAGTCTTTCAGGAACTGTATACACCCTTTATTATACCCAAAAATGCTCTGAGTAAAGTGGTCCAGAGAACAAAGGCAGTGGTCTGCTGAGCAGTGGAGGAAAAAGTCATATGGTCAGATGAGTCATCTTTCACCCTGCTCCCAACCAACAGATGAGTGCACGTTTGGCACATGCCAAAAGAAGATTATGGGATGGAGAGCCTGTTTCCCACAGCGATGGGTTCTGGAGGGTATGGTGTAGGGTGCATATTCCTGGCATGATTTTATTTCTTATTTTTTTGCAATCGGTCCTTTATTATGCAAGGTAGATGCTAACACAAGGCCATTCTGAGTGATCATATTCATCCCTTGCTGAAGGGACTTTACTCTGATGGGAGTGGAATCTTCAAGCACCACAATGGTCCCATTCATTGGGCAGCAATGGTCTGATGAGCATTAAAATGACTTAAACCATATGCCATTACCATCCCAGTCACCAAATCCTTCTGCCTACAACACTTATGGGACATGCCACATGGGGCTCACAATACAGTATCTTTCCAGAACAAATGATGATGTTTCTCTAGGGGGAATAGCATTACGTCACTCCAGTTCCAGGCAGATGTAAAATATATGGCAGGGAGCACTGAGCCTGCTGTGGGTGCTAGCAGTGACCCAACGCTCTGCTAAGACACTGCAGTTGGCGTTTCAGCAGTTAACTGCATGACAGTTAGTGTAAACCATTGCTGTAAACCACTGCAGTATATTTTCTCATGCGGATTATTTCTTTTCCAAACATAAAGTGTAAAGGTGGTAAACTTGGAAGAGACGACCTTCGACTGCATGCGGTGGCTGACCGTGGACATGCCTGGAAGCTCTCAGAGCCACAAACCTTTATCCACTTGTGGAAAGAAACATTTTCCCTTATGCCTCTATCCAGAACCTTCCACTGTGTGTCCATTAACAGCTGGACACACTTAAAGTGAGGTTCAGAAGCTGCTCAGTAGGACAACCAAAGGGACCCTCCTGGGAGCTGAGGCACCAATTGCAGGCTGGGATCCTTATCAAATTTGTATCTAGCACTGGGCTAATGGCTTGTAAGAAACACCCCCGGGGCCTCTGCCCTTCTCCCACTCTGGGTCTGTTATCATGGCAATGTGCGCTGTGGTATACTGTGTTTGGGTTGCTTAGCATGAACTATTCATAAACACGACTGGTTCTGCAAGTTCACGGATGTGACTGAAAACCAAAGAGATTTCATGACGTTTTGTTCATTAATGTTTGTAAATGATGTCTCACTGTTTCAACTGCGTGTCATGCTACTATATGCCAGGGATCTACAACAATGATTTACTAAGTCCAGTCATGAAGGCAACAGGAACACTTTCCTTGGTGTGGGGGAGGGGCTTCCCGCCAAACATGTGGTCTCAATATGGGCAGTGGGAGTGAGGGAGAGAGAGGCAGCATGGCTGCCACATTATCCAGAGCTTCAGGAGCTAAATGCAGGTTGGTTTTTCAAAACAAATCAAATCCACAGCAAATGGAAAGAAATGACTCTGAAACTGACACTGTTGAACATCACTGAGCTTCATTTACATGCAAACCATTTCTTATACAAACTAGATTACAGTTCAAAATGGTATACACAGGAAAATACTCACTAACATCAAGTAGAGAAGCAAACACTACAAGATATCTAATACAAGAGAAGGGTTTCAGCATAACATTAGACCGAGTTTCCTGTTAATGGTGGTGCTGTGATCTGGATTTTCATGGGGTGTGTTAAAGCAATGGCTTCCAACCCCATGGAAACAGTAAGAGTGCAAATGTTGAGCACCTGTTCAAGGGCTTCAGACAGCTTCAGAATCACATTGAATCTGTACTGAACTTATTTTTTATGAGAAGAAAGTTCTAGAGTGTGCCTTCATATTTTAATAATCTGCCCCAACTGGAAGAGGTTAGGGCACTGCTCATACTTGGCCACTCCTTCTCAGGAGAAAGGCAGCCAGTTGGAAAAGCCTGGGGTGGTACTCGCTCAGCTGCTTTGTCTCCAGACTTGACTTGTTTAAGCTGCCCTCCAACCCAATAGCAAACAGACACATATACACACACACATGGTGTTGATGTTTGTGAGGGAATGACTAGTTGCCAGTTTTTAGCCAAGAAGTGCTCTATTCCAAAATAAGACACATTATTGGTGGCTTGTTCTGAGCACCGGAGATCTACATCAGGACCCAGCGCCATGCCTGTTACGCAAGCCCAGTGTCAACTGTGGGAGCTGCCATTGTGTTTGTGTAGGGACACGAAGAAAGTGCATTTGTTTGAGAGATTGCTGAGTTTTTCTTGAACTGGTTGACAGATACATCTCAACTGGGGCAAAAGGTCTTGCTTTGCCATTCCTTTTTTTAAGCGGCGTAAAGCTCAACCCACATTTCACAGTCACTGAGGGGGCAGGACAGTACGTCAATAAAGCAGCGAGGCACTCCAGCTATTTGCATGGCATAAACAGTTGCTACGCAGCTATTCCAAAGCACTCTGAGGCGAAGCGCGTGAATGGCTCTGTGGGCGCTGGCGCTGGCCTTCGCGTGGGCTCGTCTTTAGAGTCAAACAGGTGGTCATGGCTGCTTTCTCCCACCCCGCTCCTGCGAAATCTGGCCAAGCCAACATGAGAATGGGGGGAGGGGCTTGCTAGCTGTGAGTCAAAAGTTAGATCAGAATAACCAGGGTGCGCCGCGTGATGAGCCCTTAGCCAAGATGAGCGGTGGTGCTGGGGTGTGTGGAGGGTTCAGCAATGACTCAGAGAGTGTCTGGGTGGGGGTCCAAAGGCTGAAGTGTGAGCACAGCTGGAGTGTGAGCACAGCTGGAGTGTGAGCACAGCTGGAGAGGAGCAAATTGTGTACTCGGCATTGGATTGCACTGCCTGGCCCCGGTTCATTTTAATGAGCACGCATTACACTAGCTTACAGAGCAAGGAAATGCCACTGTTTACCACTGGAGACACAGAATAGTGACCCGCTCAGCCCTCAAGTGCCTTTACAGCACTTCTGTGTTGTAGCTTTAGTGCCGGCCATCATTTTTAACACAATAACTGAAATTGCAAAATATGCATCATTTTCATCACTCTCTTTTCTCATCTCTCAGCCTCCACGTCTCACTGTCTATGACTACTTGCCTAAAAATTAACAGCTGGGCACTAACAGTACATTAGGATTTTTCATACGCATCTAGCACAATAAAGTAAGTTTACCATGTGAAATCATGTGGACAGGAGTGTGTACTACTCAAAATGGCGAGACACACTGGGAATCCTGCACAGATATGGGAGTTAGGAAAGCAATGACTGTCAGTGGTTTCTGGTGTGCACTTGCAAAGGGATGAAGTCTGGAGACCCCCTGAGTGCATTCCTTAGGGATGGGAGGCATTGAGTGCATGTGAAATATAGCCTGCCCGTGGACTGGATGCCTGGCTGGCCGGCCCCCACGCCTTCGGTTCGCCTTCTCTGCAGAGGCTGGAGCTAAGCCTCTCATATGCACGCCAGGAGCACGTGCCTGTGACAGAAACTCGGATCGCAGCACCCTGACCGGGAGTTCAGTTGCATATTTAATTACCCCTCCATTTCCAGCGACGGCAACAGGCCGAGCTTTTATGATTTTTTTTCCCCCCCGCCTGCATCTCCTACATGTTCAAGTTATTTGGCAATATACAAGATAGCTTATCTCAACATCTCAGTAAGTTGGCTTCAAGGTATTTTTCCCACCAGCTATGCTACCATATAGTCATCTAATATATATTACATAACTGTTTTTTGTTTTACATTTTGATTCGTTTTAAAGTTCAGGGCTACTTTGCACTGGAAAACGACGTAGCCTGCAGAAACAGACTTGAACACTGTTTGTTTAGCACCCAAGGAGGTGTGTGGAAACCTTGCACAATGCAAGACCTTGTTTTGGCTACATGTATTTATATCCTGGCCACTCCCCCCCCCCCCCCCCCCCCCCCCCCTAAGGGGCTCCCTTGCCATACGACTTCATCACAGACACAATTGATATCCCCTCAATCTTCAGCTTGGATTATGCAAATCGAATAGGAGGATTTTAAACAATGACAAGACTTATTTTAGCCAGAACACAAAGTTGCACAGCAATTTCAACTAAAGTGAAACAGAGCTTCAGCAGGCTCTCGCGTCAAGGGCAAGATCAGTCAGGCGCTGGGAAGCCGCATTCATTTCCTAGCTGGTCAAACCAAGGCTTTGAAAATGCATCTGGTGAATGGCAATAAAACACAGCCAGTGGAAACATTTAACATTATAATCGCTGAGATAAAGTTCAAGAAAATGATGGAAACATCCCAGAAACCACTGTATTAGATAACACCACACTTAATTTTTTTTTCCCAGAAATTATTGGATTGTGAGTGGCTACAATATACTGGCAAGGTTGTTTTACTCTTAAAAAAAGCTATAGTTTTCCAATATGTATGTATAAGTTTACATTTCCAAACAAGATTGCATAATTTTGAAATGAGTCCGTTTTTAGGCTCCTGCAGGGAAAGGTGTGAGATGCTGAAGCAGTTGTCTTCTTAATTTTGTGTACTGGTTTCTGTGGAAATGGGGGTTTGTGTCGCCGGTTTGTGAGTTTGTGATCTGTAAACTGTACCCACATCATGCTGACAGCTGGTTTGGCAAAGGAGATCATGTTGGGTCTTCACATGCACAGCAGAGACCTGAAATCAGAAGCAAGAGAAAGACCTTTCAGTGAAATCAATTCTGTGGTCAATTTGCCATTTGCTTTTTAAAAGCACATATAATCATCTCTATTATAACCATTTAAATGGCGCCTGATCAGGGTTACACAACAATGTTTCCACTCCTGTTGCACAAATATCTGTCAGTGCAGGAAGCAGCTCAATGAACAACTGAAGGATAAGGAGTGTGAATATTATTATAGCAAACTGTGAATGCTCTGATAATTTTCATCCACACTGCTTTTGCCCTGTTTATCTTTGCTGGCTGATGCGCTCATGGGTGTCCAGCAAGTAATGACATCAACTCATTTCCAAAGGTCATTCTTTCCTTATGACAACTCTCATGGAAAAAGTTCACTAGCAGTCAACAACAAATCAGCCGTGATGTTCACCATAAATGAACGATAAATGTGATGCACAGATATTGGAAGAGTGTTCGGTTTCCTTACTGGGAAAAAAGGCATAGCGTAGACTTACCCCCGTTGCCCCTTTCTGCCCCTTGAAGCTAACTGCCCTTCATCCGGGCACCCAGCTCTGGGAGGTCTGATTAGGGTTCGCGAAGCCACCCACACTCAAGTTGGACGTGTTCTGGGTGGAGATGAGCGAGTCAAAGTTGAAGTCCAGGCCATCGGCATCCATCAGATCATTGCGGATGATGGTGTCCATGTCGCAGTCCAGGCTGCCGTTGAACATGTCCAAGTCCAGGTCGCTGGGGAAACGGTCCTGGCCTGTTGTCGGGGGGCAGATCCCACCACTGTTCAGGCTTGAGTACAGGGGAGAGTCTGTTGAGTTCATTTGCATAGATACATTGCCGCTGGGCGACTGAAGCTGGTGTTTAATGGACGAGAGGCTGTTGGGCTCCCCAGCCAGCCCGATGCCCCCACTGATGGAGACGGCAAGGCCGGCCTGCCCCTCTGTCAGCAAGGTGCTCTGCGCCTGGTTCTGGGGGTGAAGCAGGCTACTGTGGCTGATGGGGCTACCCTGGTTAGACTGGGAGGCGGCGAACGACATCATGGGGTCGCTGCGCAGCATGATGCTGCGGCGGGCACCCTGCGACGACACGGCGGCGCTGGCCTGTGACATGAGTGGGTCCGACTGTGTCATCATGACGTCGCTGTGGCTGTGTGACTCCGAGCTCAGCAGATCCTGGAGCGTGTGGTTTCCGAAATGGGAGATGCAAGAGAAGGTGGTCTGCTTGTTCTCCTGGATGGTCTGCATGGGAGGCTGGCGCAGGCTGGCCATTGAGGATGGCAGGGATGGCCCGAAGATGGAGTTTGGGTAGCTGCCGGCCGCTGGCGAGCCTAGCCCGTTGCCTTTAGCCCCGAATGTGAACCCCGCGCTCCTCTGGGTGACCGGCCCACCCCCTGATCCGCTGCCGCTAGTGCTGCCGCCTCCCGGGGATGGCTGCTGGGACGGGGTCAGGTTGTCTAGGAGGTCGTCCATGAGGCCATCACCAAGGCCGTCGTTGAGGTTCATGGTGCCCGCCATGTCAGCCAGTCGAGGCAGCTCGGTGGGGCAAGGCTTGCCAGCCGACGGGGACAGGCTTCCGGGGCTTGAATACATCATGGGTGAGAGGGGAGGCTCGTCGTCAGGCACTTCATCCAGCCCAGGGTTCGCCAGGATGGGCGACAGGCGGCTGCTGACAGTACTGGCGTTTGAGTTGGTACGTGAGCGGAAGTCGGTCCAGGCATCCAGCTCGTCGCTGCTGCGCGACGTGGGGCTGTTGGGCCACTTCGAGATGCCAGATGGGCTCTCGGCCACCCCGTCCTGGGTCACCTGCAGGGCAGCCTTCTTCTTGGCGGCGCGGCCGCGGCTCTTGGTGTACTTGTTGCTGTTGTCCATGGAGACGGCACGCCGGCGAGGGGCCTTGCCTCCTTTACCGCCCTCTGGATTGATCATCCACCAGGAGCTCTTACCGGTGCCCTCGTTTTGGACCCGGATGAAGCGACTGTGGAGGGAAAGGTTGTGCCGGATGGAATTCTGCAGAAGAAGAGAGAGAGAAAGGTGCTATTCATTCCTTCTGCTGATTTATTCTGCACCTCTCAAGATCTTAACCAAAGGCTTCATCTTTAGAGTAACTTAGATGTCTTGCACCTGCAAACACTTCATATGTTTTTATCATTAAAGAGGGGTGCTGTAGCTCAGTAAGTTGTGCTGTGGCCTTACACGCGCTTTGTGGGTTCGTTTCCTGTCTTGACTAAGAGCTGAACATGCATGTTCTCCCCGTGTTCATGTAGATTTCTTCTGGGAACTCTGATTTTCCCCCCCACAGCCTAACAACACTGTGAATTTTAGGCTTCAAGATCACAATCAGCCCATACTGGATATGAAAAATGGATATCTGCTTGATATTTGAACATTGTTTAAAAAGAGAATTTTCATTGGAAAATGTATCCTATGACATGCAAATTGAAGTCATTTCTGACCAGTGCAGTCAACAAAGACGATGATTTTGTCCACGTCTTGTTCAGACTATTGGGGGTGGGAGGAATGCAAAAGGTTAAGGGTTTAAGTCACCCCGTGTCTGACCTCTGACCCAGTCCAAGGCAAAATGAACTGACAAGTGACCCTGAATAACTCAGTCACCCCAAGCTGAAACACACTGCATGGTACTGCTCTAAGTGCTGGAGGTCTGGAATCCCCAAACCCGCACCTCGACAAAGGAGTTTCCAAACTGTAACATCAAAGCATCTCACTTTATTCTAAAGCCTGTTACCCAGAAATGGCACCTCATCTATTGTGGCTGCGGCTGAGACGGCTAAACGATCCCCTGTCCCATCGTTGATCGGTTCAGAATGAGCCTGCTGAATGCTCTTCGCCTGCGGGCCTGCACCTCGGCCTTTGCCGGAGGCCACACGTCTTTACAAGGGACCGTAACCTGAACAGGACACTCAATATGGCGACAGGTAGGAAATGTTACAGAAAGCTGGGCTGAAACAAACACGAGGGGAAGCCTTTGAGCCGACGTGTGTCTGTGATGATGCTCTGGGCCTGAAGGCAGATGGAGCGCTCCCTGCATCCCAGCATGCACCGCTCAGGAACGAGGAGACCCCTCAACAACCGCATGCACCTTCTGTGAAGGGAGGACCCTTACGCACAGCACTTAAATCAACACGCTTTACATCCTCCCCCGCTCTCCTCAAGCCGCACATTCTGTACGCAGCGTTACAGAGAGGGGAGGTGTGGAGGGCTAGCCTGCCTCGTTACCTCCATCCGGAGTTGGAGGGGGCCCGAAAGAGAGTCTGCAGTCTTCCAGCGCGGCTCACCCCGCCCCTGTGAACTGCAGCTGACCCCGGTGCACCCTGTCGGGAGGAGAGAATGTCCTGTTCCACGAGGGGCCACAAAGCCTGCCGCACTGACTGCACCTCACTTTCGGAGCAGATTGTGTCACAGGGTTGGCTCTGTCTCCTCCCGTCAGCCTGAGAGCGGTTTGGGAAGCACACAGGGCCAGATGGGAGGCAGACCGCCCCTCCCGCCGTGCACGCAGGAGCCCGGCGATGAAGTCAGCCCTTACCATAAAACTGTCACCTTCACAAACTTGTGATCTCAAACATATTTAAAAAAAAAAAAACCTGCTACCCTTTCTCATTTCACTGTGCACTACCCGTACGTGCTGAAGTGGCTTCCAAAAATAACGCAACCCCCACCAGTCCTAAAGAGACACACTGCGATTAAACAGCGTGGCTCATAATGGTGACACGCCCCGCTGAGTCCCCAGGAGGCTACAGTGCTGGCGGCCCGCAGTAAACTAATGACGGGGGCCTCAGAGACTGCTGTTTACATGAGCCGGCATCCGAGGTGGGGTGACATCACCGCTCTCATAGGTACCTTCCGCGCTTAAAAACAAACTTTAAAACACATACATTTAATTAGCAACAGATTCTGCAACGGAGGGCAGAGCCGGCCGCAGTGAAAGGAGCAGGATTCATAGCAAAGGGAGACACCCACTTCCCCACTTGGGGGGTAGATGGATCGGGTAGAGATGCGGGAGGGGACACTCTTGTTGCTGTTGGAAGGCAGCCCAGCATGCACTGCGGCAGCGGCTGACTTACAATGGCCTTTCCTCCCGGGCCGGTCCCAGGTCCATTGAGAAAAACAAGCTCCTAAAGCCAGGAGGGCCGATTCATAAAGTCGGCGTTGTATGGCCTCAGCAGTCTACATGAAATGATTATATATTTCATTCCAGCTCCTTCCTCCCTGGGGACCAGCGGGCTGTTATTGCCATGCGCTCAGTCCCGAGCTGGTGGGCAGTTTCGTCTAATTCGCCGTGCTTCTGGGAGACTCCCAGCGTCGTTACGAGAGGTGGCAGCTGGGCTGCAAATACAGAGGTCCGTTTGTCTGACAGCAACATGTGGTACCAATTCATCACTGTCAGCCGCCGCAGCACCAAATCCACCAACTTTCCTCTGTTTTCTTTTTTTTTTTTTTAATTCTACACTGAGTTGGGGGGAGGGGTGGGCCGATTGTGCAAGGGTCCTTGGCCCTTGCCAGCCGTTTGGCAGTGAGATGCAGCTGCCCGTTTCCCCGAACAATCATGTCGACCCCAGCAGCACTCGGACACTTTCTCTGCAAGACCTTGGAGGTGGAGGCCGTGAGCGAGGAAACGGCGGCGGCGGCATCGGGCAGCGGGTGGTGGGCGGCCACTTGCCCTGCCTCGGCTGAACCCTCACCGTCCCACTTTGTCCGTTTCCTTTCGGTACCGTAAAAATACACAGGGCTTCACCGGCTGCTTATTTAAGGTTGGAGGTTATCTGCTTTCACTTAGCCAACTGTCAACACACCTCACGCCGGCGATCTGGGATTCCGATTCCGGTCCGCTGACAGAAAGTCGACAGGGTCAAGGCAGTCTTTAGGTCATTCATCTCGTCTTCGCCCCCTTTCCTCCCAGAGATCACCCGATACCCAAAGTGCTGAATGTAGCCTTATACTCTGGAACCCAGCACACACTGTTTCAGGCTGTATCTGCTAGCTGCAGATGAAATCCAGTGACTTGAACTTCACTGTCATCCCATATACGAAATATACAATCCGCTGCACCGTACTTCTGCAGCTTGCATAGCGGAGAGGCTGCCCACGAGCCCGCAGCCGCGATATGGAAGGCATGACTCGCGCAACAATGCAACAAATAAGCACAACGTATAAATGAAACGCGTGAAGTCAGCCGTCATCGGTAGGGGAGTGTAAGAATAAATGTTGCAGGATATTTATTTTCATGATAGGTAGTGGTGTATAAAAATAGCTATAAACTAAATCTCCCCCTGATATCACACACGCTCATACTTGCAGGTTAGACCATTTGGACCTCAGAAATTCTTGTAGAGAACTTTTGGATGGAAAAGAATAACACAGGTCTACAAAAAAAATTTTTTTCCCAGGTGCCAAGGTTTTTTGAATGGATTTAGGGTATTTTGAGGTGCTGAATTCAAAATCCCATTACATTTACCTTTACTGCGACTTGTGTGTGATGACAAATGCAATAGCTTTTGGTCTGTCTTTTGACTCTTTAACAGTGTAATGAAATATCCCATATAATTATTTTGTATTTCAATCTGTAGGCCTACAATGCTGTAAACGTGACTTTTTGAAGCCAGAATTCAACTGTGAATTTGCAGAGGAAAGATGTCGGCTACAGTATAAGTTTGTCAACCCAGTCTTGGTTTATACCCAAAATTAATAAGTATATAAATACAAAGTACGACTTCATCAAGAAGAGCCTGCATCAACAATCCAATTTTACCAAATGCATGAATGACACTGAGGCTTCGGCCTGAAAGAGTTTTGTCTCTCTTGTGAAGAACGACTTGGGTAATCACAGAGCAGACAATTATGAATAATTGGTGCAAGATATGCTTGCGAACTTCAGAAATTTGGGAGTTAATATGAGCATAAAGATGCAGTATCTCCATAGCCATTTAAACAGATTTCCAGATAACTTTGGAGACTTCAGCGAGGAACAAGGCGAGAGGTTCCACCAGGATATGAAGGTGATGCAGGAGAGATATCAAGGCAGATGGGACATAAACATGATGGCAGACTAGTGTTGGAGTCTCCAACGTGATTATCCTGATGATACACATAAAAGGAAATCGCATACACAGCGTTTTTTGAAGCATTGACATTAATAACAATTAATAACTAATTAATATTGTATTAATTAATCAAATCATACATAACTTTTTCCTGTCACTATTAGATATTTTGAATTTCTTTTTTGTATGATGTTAGACTGTTTACTTACTAGTTGTAACTAAAATAAAAAATATTCTCGCAATTCTGAATGCTTTTCAAACGTGTTGCGTTAACTAATTAACTATTAAATAGCTCAGAAACTAGAGCCAATCTGGCAAAACTGAAGTCATATTCTTAATCAGCACCATAAACGTAATATAAAACCGTTCAGACATCGTTGGCACCAAATACAACTGTATACCAGTGTAATAATCAGTACAAAAACAATAGGAACCTAGCACTGCTGGAGTATGGACCCCTAATGAAGCATATTTATAGATATGCATAAAGATGAGGTTCAAGCTATGCTTGTTTAGTTAGCGTCGGACTTGGGTTAAGTTGGGGTACTCCATGGAACCAGTCCAGGTGCCCTAGTACCTGTAGACTATTTTTTTGTAAATCAAGATGTCAGATTTAACATGATGTGGCCTGAGCTCTCTCCCCTGCATGTGGGTGACACTGGCATGGCAGCGGATGCTAGCTGGACAGGGTGAGGTGGCATCAGGAGCTTCCTGCGGGAGTAACTGCGTCTGCTGCCAAGCCAGTGTCTCTCCAGCTCGACCCCATCGGGTAAAAGGGCATCTCGCCCCCTCTGTCAGGCAAACAGCTTGAGGGTGAGCCGTGCCAGTCAGGGAGAGGGGATCCTAATTCAGTCGTGGGGCACCACGGCTGACTCAGAAATCGCCGGCCCATCGCCGGCGGCTCAAGCCGACCCGTCAACCGCTGGCGGCGCGGCGCTACCACCTGACGCT